AGAATGTGAAAAAAAAATCCATGAATGCACATGGTAGGATTTGTAAAGAATTTATTCGTAAATAGGGTGGAAAATAAGTATTTGGTCACCTCAAACAAGGAAAATCTCTGGCTCTCACAGACCTGTAACGTCTTCTGTAAGAAGCTTTTCTGTCCCCCACTCGTTACCTGTATGAATGGCACCTGTTTGAACTCATCATCTGTATAAAAGACACCTGTCCACAGCCTCAAACAGTCAGACTCCAAACTCCGCCATGGCCAAGACCAAAGAGCTTTCGAAGGACACCAGGAAAAGTATTGTAGACCTGCACCAGACTGGGAAGAGTGAATCTACAATAGGCAAGCAGCTTGGTGTGAAAAAATCAACTGTGGGAGCAATCATCAGAAAATGGAAGACATACAAGACCACTGATAATCTCCCTCGATCTGGGGCTCCACGCAAGATCTCATCCCGTGGGGTCAAAATGATCATGAGAACGGTGAGCAAAGATCCCAGAACCACACGGGGGGACCTGGTGAATGACCTGCAGAGAGCTGGGACCAAAGTAACAAAGGTCACCATCAGTAACACACTACAACGGCAGGGAATCAAATCCCGCAGTGCCAGACGTGTTCCGCTGCTGAAGCCAGTGCATGTCCAGGCCCGTCTGAAGTTTGCCAGAGAGCACATGGATGATACAGCAGAGGATTGGGAGAATGTCATGTGGTCAGATGAAACCAAAGTAGAACTTTTTGGTATAAACTCAACTCGTCGTGTTTGGAGGAAGAAGAGGTTCAAGGAGAAACCCTTTCAAGCAACTGAAAGAAAATGTTTATGAGCTTTAGTGGAGACTGGCTGAATCGTTGAATTGCTGGCAATGTTTTATTTGCATCCCAAGAACACCATACCTACTGTGAAGCATGGGGGTGGAAACATCATGCTATGGGGCTGTTTTTCTGCCAAGGGGACAGGACGACTGATCCGTGTTAAGGACAGAATGAATGGGGCCATGTATCGTGAGATTTTGAGCCAAAACCTCCTTCCATCAGTGAGAACTTTGAAGATGAAACGAGGCTGGGTCTTCCAACATGACAATGATCCAAAACACACCGCCCGGGCAACAAAGGAGTGGCTCCGTAAGAAGCATTTGAAAGTCCTGGAGTGGCCTAGCCAGTCTCCAGACCTCAACCCCATAGAAAATCTGTGGCGGGAGTTGAAAGTCCGTGTTGCTCGGCGACAGCCCCAAAACATCACTGCTCTCGAGAAGATCTGCATGGAGGAATGGGCCAAAATACCAGCTACTGTGTGTGCAAACCTGGTAAAGACCTATAGTAAACGTTTGACCTCTGTTATTGCCAACAAAGGTTATGTTACAAAGTATTGAGTTGTATTTTTGTTATTGACCAAATACTTATTTTCCACCCTGATTTACGAATAAATTCTTTACAAATCCTACCATGTGGATTCATGGATTTTTTTTTCACATTCTGTCTCTCACAGTTGAAGTGTACCTCTGGTGCAAATTACTGACCTCTGTCATCATTTTAAGTGGGGGAACTTGCACAATCGGTGGCTGACTAAATACTTTTTTGCCCCACTGTATATGTTGTATATGTGTATATGTGTATATATATATATACATATATACATATAAGTTGTATGTATGTATATATATTTAAAGTTGTTTGCTGCAGCATATTCTATGTTTCTGCATCCCGCATTCAGTGAGTGCCTGACCCCTTGTGGACAGAAAGCTTTCAAAGAAAGAGACTGGCATCTAATTCACTGATGCAAGACATTCCTTGGCCTTTTCAAAATAAAAATTTAAAATATAAGAAAAACCTTGGTTTACATCACATCTAGGGTTGCCAACTCCCTGAAAAATAAATAAGGGACACCTCGTGGCCAGGGCCGGGCAACCCAGTTGTCTTCACCCTTCCCAGTGTGGTAGCTCTTTTTTTGTGTGTGAAATTATTTTTTTAACCATTTGACTTGAATTTGATTTAAGCAGATGCATATTCTTTGTGATATGACCATATGGGAAACAAATGATCATTTAGCCATTTATTTTTAGCTCAAAATGACAACATTAACACAATAAAACAGGTCTCTTTCTTAAACAGAAGCCTGTCATGCTTAACTTTTGAGAATATAAGTAAATCTTTCTTTAAAAGAACTCTGTCCTGCTTAACTTAAAATTATATAAATTAATAGAAAGCAATAGAACAAAAATATTCTTGTAACTGTGCACATATAGTGCATTTAGTACAATTGGCTTCAGTTGAGGTATTATTTCAGCTTTTCTAATGCTAATCAGCTGCTCCTGTTTGTAAACCCGCTTGTTCCCATGATTACGCATCATAACTCATCATCATTATTCATCTATGTATTACTTTTATGTATTAGTGATCTATTTGTTGTAATCATCTATCCTTGCAGTTGTTTATTACACAAAATAAATTATATTATCACACTTCTGGCCACATAGCGCTGATATTCACTGCACATGCCCATATTAACCTTAACCAGAGGGTTTAAAAAAACAAACCAGTGTTTACATACCATGTAGCAGCCCTTGGCATCAAGAACGACAGAAGAGTCTCTAACGGGTGCAGCCATTTATTTCCTCACCACACACGGCTCATTCTCTGGACGTTGAGCACCGTGAAAACTATAAAATAAGAAAAAATTGATACCCGTACAGTACTTTTTGAACTATAACAATGAGCAATAACAACAATGAGCTTAAGTTAATTCAGGCAAGTTCAAACAAGTAATTCTGAGATATACAGTCACAGATTAAATAAAACAAAAGGGGTTACTTCAAACAGCATCAAGGGATTACACAGTTCAGTTAAATAAAATATAACAACAGATCATCTCTCATCACATACCTCAGTCCGCTTGCCAAGGGTGCAAAACTCCGGTAAACACTTAAACACTTCGGCCCGTTTCTCATGGGGTGCTGCTAGCTTGCATGACACACATGTCTAGCTAAAAAATAGCACATGGATGTAAGTAACGTAAATACAGAATAAAAAGGTTTTCAGATAGCTCACAATACAAACGCAGCAACATACCTTACATTAGAAACACACTTGGTCGGCGGGGTTATGAACAAAATAAATAAACTTGACAACGCCACCTAGGGGAATTACACCCCCAGGAAATATATTTAAGAAAAATAAAGAAAAGGAATAAAAGAAGACCGCACAGATTCAAGGATGCACACTGAGGCAGGTTGGCTTCCAATATTAAAACAGTTTTATTTATAGAAATGAATAAAATATTATAAATAATATTTTATAAATAAAATATTAAAAGTCAAGATGTAGCGTCATTATTGACAGTGTCCTACAGTAAAAATAAACAATCGTGGAACTTGGACTTACCAGCAGCCGTGGAACCAAAAGAAAATCACACCACAAGAATCACTGCAGACCACCCAGTGCTGTACAAAAGAAAGTGTGAAAACGACCCACCACCTGAGGTCCCAGGGCCACTGGCTCGTCCTCCTTCACTGAAATAAAACACAGAAAAGTATGTTAAAAGAATAAAAGGACACTGAGCGTCAGGCTCGCTACAAATCATAAAAAGACTAAAACACACCTTAATAACTTTAATAAAAGAAATCTCACACACACACACACACACGGGAAAGGCTTATTCCCCACGGGTCAAACTACCACTCGTGCTGGTAATAATTATTCTCAGGCGTAGGCCGGTCTGGCTCCCCACCGGCTGAGACCGGCCACCCAGGCGATTTAGAGTCCCAGACGGCACACCAGGTGTGCCAAAAAGTGATTCCACTCTGCTGCCCTCTTTGGCCAGATCTCTCTTGAAAAATACATTTTATTGCCAATGACACTTATTAAACTGTGTCATTGGCTGATATTAAACAGTCAATTTGCCAAACTCATTGACTTGTACTTGTGATCAGAATGTGCTTTCTGGGTTAAATTGACACGATATAATGGAAATACCGAAAGCAGCAGGTTCACGACCTTGCCAAATCACAAAGCTTCTCCCCGGGCAGAGACACCTGACAGATAGTTTTGACACACGGGGCGTTTCCTAACATTGAGGCACTTGAAGAGGAAAGTTGCCAGGTCATCGGATTTACCCCCAAAACATCTGATCCAGGATCGACAGACCATCATAGTGAAAGGACAGCAAAGTCAGCATGAACAGGTAGGAGCGTGGTTAGAAGTGTGGTCAAAGGACACCTGTAGATTCAGTCAATGAATTAAAAACCTGTGCGCCAAGACGAGTTAGCAACTCATCCAAGAGTTTTTTCATTGTGATTAACATAATCGCAAGACTTGCGACAAAAAGTGCTTTTGTGATCCAGTAACTTATTATTTATTATGTGTACAGACGTTTACCTCTACCGTGTTTTAGTATTTCTATCGTCTCCATCTTTATTAATATTCTACCATCTCACTACATTTCGTAATTGCTAGATTTTAGAGAAAAAACCGTAAACGTCAGCTTACAGCGGTGCTGTGCCATCCTACATTTTTTGGTGTCGAGCCACCAAATCATTAGCATTTGTCCATTACTGGTAATACCGATACTTTTAACCTATAAAGCTAATGTAGGGAAGAGCAGTGTGCTACGACTTCATTTGATGAATCATAAATAATGTGCGAATTCTGAACACATTTTAATGACCCCTAAATTACTGTGAGTTTTACTTTCCACAATAATTAGTTAATACAACAAAACACACCTTTCAACATTTCATGTTTTTTGAAACTGAAAAGCTGAAAGGCATTTTTCATTTCCAATACTACTACTACTAATGATAATGATGATAATAATGATAATATCATAATTATTTAACTGGCTGGCAACCTGGAAACGCAGTATTGATACTATTGTGCTAGAACCTAAGCAATACCAATACCAGCATTGGTATCAATACTATCAATATTTGAATTGTCCATGCACCTCTAGTTTTGAGTGCAATGCCCAAAATCTGGCCAAAAATAAAGAATGGTAAATTGCTCCTTACATCAAAGTAATAATAATGCATTAAATAACAATAATGAAATTATACACAATTATGTTAAACTTTCATTAACTTGTCTTACTTTTATTGTTTTTTTTCTTTTGGGTAATTCTTGGAATGTGAAAATATCTTGCTGGAAATTAATTTTACAAAAGAAAAGGAAATGTTTTTTTGTTTTGTTTTTATCACAAATAGTCTCAGGGTAAATTATTTTTATGTCTATTTTTATTGATTCTGAAAGAAGCAAAAAGGAGGATGAGAATGACGACAGGATGAAAAGCATTACATTTTCACCATTAAACACTCAGAACTTATCATTAGTTGTTCAAACTTGTTTTATTACAGGAAGGAAAGAAAGGTTTGATAACCAACTGATAACCACTAATCATGATACACATCATGACTGACTGGGCTTTTAGGTTTTGTCAAGCCAGTTAATGTAAGAAAGCCAGGCCATGTTGAAGTTCACAATATACTCCTCAGGTGTTCTCTTGAAGGCAGTCTTCTACCACAAGTATATCATCAGTGTGGTTACAGGTTTTGCAATCACTTCAAAAATGGAAATTTGAATTAGCACAGGGCAGGAAACAAATCCCCATGGTGGAACTGTTGTGTAGAGTATGGGGGAGCTTTGCAGTTTACTTTATTTATGTCCTGTTCTTGATTCCAGTCTTTGAATGAGAGCTAGACCATCAGGCAGAAAACTCCTGTGGTAGTTTAACTGACTGCCATGGTCATGTGCACTGATTTTTAATTAGATGCAGTGAGCCAAAACAATTATTTACGCAGGGCTCAAAGGTGAACACAAAATATGTATGATGTAATCAGCTCAGCTCACACAGATTCAGATGTGTTACACAGAAACATTTAATTAAGCTCATCAAGGAGACAATTGTAATACAACTAGACAGGCTGACAGCCTAGTCATGTGTGTTACACATTCATATCCACGTGTCAAAAGTGAAAGAACAAAGAAGGTATGCTAGCTATGCTTTCCAAATAAACAACTTCTGGTGCTAATAAAATGAAAATGAATGAACCTGTAGTAAAAAAATACATACAATAATAGATGTTAGGTGTGTTTTATTTTGTCCTATTTGGCATTTAGTTGTAATTACACAGGCAGCAGGGCAAGCCCAACCACTTTCAGATGCTCCAGTGTGGTGATGAGCCACTGGATGTAGTGCATGGACAAACCAGGTAAAGAAAATATGATACACCCAAGCCTTGTGAAAATAAATATTAAGTAAATGTTTTTATGGTTAAGTATTGATAAGATTTGCAGAGTGTGGTGTGTGAACTTTTTGTGGCTTTCTAAATGTCTGTCTTTCACTGCACAAAAGTGACACAGCATTTAATACACTTATATAAATGAAGTACCACTGCACCATTCTAATAAAATTAGCTAGCCACCCCTTTCATCCAAATATACTCAGGTCAAGAAGCCAAGATGGTGATGGTTATTTAACCTTACAAAATAAAAGCAATACATTTCATATAATTATATGATATAATTCAAATTTTTAGGTAAGATAAACTGCAATTTAAGGAAAATCAGCAATTCATGTTAGAGTAAATAACTGGACTGTCGACCGTTGAATTTGATATGACTGATAAAAAAGTAATATGTGTAATGTGTTTTTAGTACATGCAATATCCAAACAAGCAGTATGATCACATCATCATCTTTACTCTACTTTTTCAAATGTTTCTTATTAAATATCGCGTTCCCCATGCAGATGTTTGATCAGCGAGGTGGAGGTCAAAGGCTTCATTGAGAGGTGCATGACAGCAGTGGGTACCAAGCAGCATCATGCTCGCAGTCTAGCTGAAGTGTTGGTGGAAGGAGACCACAGGGGCCACTACAGCCATGGACTCAACAGGATGGGTCAGCCTCCTTCAAAACTGTGTTTTCATCATTGTTGCTTCATTGTTTGATCCTCACTGTACATATCATTGTGTCTTATTTGCACAAAAACTAAGCATCTTTCCTCACTGATGCTGGAGACATCAGCAGTAATTTTAAATTTAAGTCTGTGTGTCGTTTATGTGTACTCACTATATTTTTAACAGACATGTATGTGAAGGACATTCAAACTGGCATCTGTGCCAAGGATGGTGAGCCAGTGGTAGAAAAGGAGAGTGAAGCGACAGCACTGGTGGATGGGAAGAATCTCTTAGGCCCGGTGGTGGGAAACTTTTGTATGAATCTGGCCATATAAAAAAGGCCAACGACGTTGGCATTGGCTGGGTGGTGGCACACAGTGAGTCCCATTTCAAGGAAATGTTATAGTGGCGACACAGTTAAACGGGTTTCCAGATCATTTATTATTGAACTGTTTGCATTTTACTTCCAGTAAGAACCAAAATATAGTGCACTATGTTAGACATAACTGGTCTTATACTAAACAAGCAATATATGTCTGTCATTTGTTGCCCTGTTTAAAAACCTTTTCATTTTGCATAGATATTTACTAAAGTATTTGATTATACAAAATCTTGCCTTTATAAGTGCATGATTCCTGTTCAGCAACTAGTTGACTGTTTAGTTTGTTTAACACTCAGTGAGGTATATAAGACTCAGTTAGACTTTATTAACCCTCTGAAGTCATAAGTCACTATTGGTAATAATAACCCTACCCTTAACTTCTATTTTGGAGAAAAAAAATCTTTAAGTAGTTTTTAAGAGTGTAAATTAGAATTATTGCTTTCCTTGTTGCCTGACTGCCAAAACTTAAGATAACAATTAAAAACAACAAAGAAACCTACATAATTAGATTGCACAGGGTTTGATTAGGATTGGGGCCCATGATGATTTAGCTCTTAGAGGTTTAAGAAACTTTCATTTAAGGGGAACAAGTGCTCTGATCTCATCAATAAAATCTTGAGTTTTTAAATATAATTATTATATTTCAACACTTATTTATAGTGGAGAGATAGTTCTCAAATCTGACGACTAAAACAATGACAGTGCATTACCACTGCTGTTCAGCCATTAAATTTATATGTGACCTTTTTCTTTTTAGACTCCAACCATTATGGCATTGCTGGATACTATGCAATGCAGGCGCTGAAAGAAAACATGATTGTGAGTGAAATGTTTGTCTGTTGATCTTTTTCCCCCCTTTTCAGTTGATTTTTTTCCCCCAGAAAGAATGCATTTTTCAATTATAGACCCAGATTTAGTATGTTTTAGTATAGCTTTGTATTTCCTTCCAGGATGATAGATGTCAATGACTTTGTTTCTCAGCTGCTTCTTTAGATCATAGCATGATCAGTTGCTTTTGCTTTTTGTTTAACTTTCTAAGAAAAAATCTAAACTCCACAGGGGATGTCATTTACCAACACATCACCACTGGTGGTTCCCACACGTGCTAAAGAGGTATATGTATTAACTATTTTAGAAAAGAATCCATAGTTAATGCAATATACGACATTTTAATTAAGATATTTATGAATTTGATCATAAAATCTTCATTATTCAAACTCTGTGAACTCTGCAGTGTACTTTGGGCACCAACCCCATCAGTGTTGCGGCTCCTGCTAAAGATGGAGACAGCTTTGTTTTAGACATGGCCACTTCAGCAGTAGCCATTGGAAAGGTAAGATCAACATCTCTACTGCTGCATATTTGTTTATTGCACATGTAAGCTGCTAACAAATTAAATGCAAGCGAGCAGTGATTGACCACTGAAACAACAACATTTTTAATGTGGAAACATTCTTCTCTTGTACTGTATATAAATGTGCATAGGTGGAGCTTCATGAGCGGCGTGGAGACCCCATTCCTGAGGGCTGGGGCTGTGACCCTCTGGGAAAAATTACAACAGACCCCAAGAGAGTGCTGACCGGAGGAGGACTGGTGCCTGTTGGTGGCAGTGAAGCCACAGGTCAGAAGCAACAGATCTTGTCAAGAATGTTTTCATTCTTCATGTGTGAAATATGTGTTTGTTTGCTTGCTTTTTTAAGTCTATATAATTGAACCACAACCCTAACTGGCTGATTTGTGCTTCATCTATATCAAGATACACAGATCTGAGAAACTCATATAGGAGATTAATTGGAAACCAGTTATCAGAACTGGTGGAATTACATGCCATTGATGGCTAGGATCAGTATAATACATTTATTCCATGCATATGTTTTTCTGTGTTTTTATCTTCAGGAGGGTACAAAGGCTATGGTCTGGGAATGATGGTGGAGGTTCTCTGTGGCATCTTGGCTGGTGCCCAGTACAGCAAATACATCCGCACTTGGAAAGTAACAGACCGTGTTGCAAACCTGGTACATTTTGTTTTGCCTAGTTGTGAAATATAAAGGACACACTGGTTCTATTTTAACATGTCCCTGATGTAACTTGTGACAAAACTGGTAACAAAGTGTGCTAAAAGTCATGTTGTTGTTTTATCTGTGAAATG